CGCTGCATTTTACATGGAAAAGGAGAGAGGAAGAAAGCAAGTCTAGCACGAAAGGCTAAGGGCATAAAAAACGGAACAAGTCGAGAAGCAAGGAAAGAGAAGAGCATCAAAGCAAGCCGAACATGGAAGGGGACACAAGCGTGGCAACGAGAAAATGCAAAGAAGCCAGAAAACACCATGAACGCACAGTCAAAAGAAGTGTTAAGGCTGCAGGAAGACTAGCAAAAATGCTCCCTCTCTCCCAAACGGGCGCAACGTTTCTTCAAATCGCTGCGGTGGGGCTGTTCACCACCACCGGACTGGTGCTTCGGGTCAACTGCACCGTCTGGATATATATTCACCAATCCAACAACCGGTGCATGCTGGTGCCATTTTCTGGGCAAGGTTCTGCTTATGAGGGTATCCCATGAATTCAACAGGTGGCAACACGAAGGCGAGACCCATCTAAAACTGTTTGTGGTCTTACCATCCTGCCCACTCACCCTCTGCCAAGCGACGCATCCCCCAGGCGAAGGTCTTGGTAGTCCAGGCCTTGACAAGACATTCCTGATGGCATAGCCCAACCTTCTTATAACTGGGGAACAACTTAACACATGCCTGTCACGTCTCTCTATCGTTTAAGGTTTTGCAAGTCACTCTAGGTATATTGGACCAGTCAAGAATTCTGCGTTCTCCCTTGCAAATCCACAGGCCCGCTGGCACAAATCTGACTGCGGATACATATCATATGTAGCAACAAATACATATGTAGCTAGAGCCAATCTCTACGAACAATTGGGTGGCCCAACACCTGTTTGTCGCTTAGATAGTTGAGGTTTGTGCTTAACCCCCATTGTCCGCCCATTGCCAAACGGATTTGAAGAGACACCCAAACCAAAAAAAACAAGCCGGCTGGGCTGCCATCTCGCGCAGCCAAAAAGGTTCCCGACCTCCTCTTTCTCTCTTATTCTTGAGCAAACCAACTTGAAAGCTGGACCGGCCAATTCGGCTGCACCAATTCGCCCAAGTCACGGCTGCAGAAGAAGTTCGCGACTTTCACAAACGCCTTAGTGCGGATCAAGCGGAGCAAATTCGACAGAGTTTGAGGCGGCAAGTCTCCTCTGATTCTGAGGAACAGATTTTACGCATATTATAGATGGTGTAATTCTCTCAAACATTCTCAATCCCTATTAGCATCAGGTCAGTGTCCAAAGGCAATACCAGTGACCTGCTGCCTGGGAGACAAAGTCAAAAGTGCAAAAATTCATGCCTGGCCTCCTGAGCCCCACGTCAACAAAGGAAAGGAACTCGCTTTCCACATCACAGGAGTATGCAAACATTACAACTCCATCAATCAGAATCATGGATCAAAGTCCCAAGCAAGATCAGATGCGAAACAGGCCCAACAAGGTGCAGGTATCGAAAATCAACCCAACACTCCTCCACTCACTCTCTAACACTCAACCTGGCACATTTTCTGCGCCTCGTCCATCTTCTCGCTAATGTCCGTGGATCGGCCCGAAAGGCGCACCACCTGCAGAAACTCACGGGCCCATTCCATGACCCACAGCACGGAAGGTGCATCCAGAATCCAGACCCGGAATGTGCATGTCGTAGCACAGTGCCTCTTTCGGAGAATATACTGTGCTCGTGACATGTTGTGCTACGACACTTCGAAAATGAAGGCTAGTCCCTAGTCACTAAGTCAGTCCTCCAGCGGTCAATAGTTCCACCAGTCAACTTTCAGCGTATCTGACCACATCCTTCCGACACTTCGGAAAACTTGTTGAGCCAGGAAAACAGAAACTCCAACATGGACATTCTCTGAGGTGGATGGACCAAAGCCTGCACCAATCATGTTGATTGTTGGATTGCTGTTACATTAATCATTGGTGACCTCCCATTGGCCCATGTTGATATGTTTGACCATCCTTCTCCTGCAATCAAGAGTCGTCAATATTAGCGGCAAGCTATGGAGATTCTGGATGTTAGACTCTGCACTCATCCTGTAGATGAAGTGTTCACCATTGTTCACCCTTTTCCAACCTACACCCCGCAGCCCTCCAACAAGCTCACGTCTCCAGTATTTCGGTATTTGACGCCCTTCCAGTCAAAAATTACACATATGTGTTGGACTGAGATTAATCCAGAAAGAAGCCTTGTGTTGGGCACCCCGTATGACATCACTGTTTACATAAGCTTTCGCTGCATCTCGCACCGGGCACCTGCTCCAGGAAGGGCAACGCTTGCCGCGACTGAAGCTCCTCTAATCATCCGTCGAGATGGACAGTCGAGGCCACCCAACAGTGGAGGGCACCCGCACGTACACATACCCAACAAAATGAAGGAGTTCTCATTTCAATCATCAGCCACACGCTGCCACGGATTAGATTAAATGCTAGAGGATTGAGTAGTACCCACTAGATAGTGGCAACTGGACCACAATGATAAGTATATCCAAAGAATCCATCAAAATCATCAAAAGGTATATTGACAACACAACTCATGAAAGCATTATTGTACTGGGCGTGTTTTATCGTGTTTTCATCCCGTGTGCTGAATCCACCTTCCTTCAATAACTGTCAAAGTGAAAAGCAGTCAGAAAGGTGTATATATAGGTAAGAAACAAACATTCTGTGTCAACTAGATTTAGATGCGAGGCACACTCATAAATGAGCAAACAAATAGTATCCCAGAATAGATCAGTATGAACAAACCTGTTCACCCACACTGAAAAGGAGATACTTCGCAATTTTTTCTGCCACTTTGTGCTGAGAAGCTTCAATCGACTGTGCCTCTGCGCTGGTGGGGCGCTGGGGAAATCCCTTCGGCCCTGCGTCACGTGGGCAGTAGCCGTTGTGGGACCAGAAGAAGTGCAATGCTCCTCACTTGGTATGCTCCAAAGAAGCCGATCATCCAAAGCCCTTCAAGCCATCCGAAAAGATGTCCCCTCATTCGTTCACTGTCCGCGTTGGGGACCAGGCAGTCTTGTGACGTCACTGCTGGGTTCGCCAGTCACGCTGCAACAACAAGTGGTTTCTTCGAACATTATGGCCTGGCCTGCAGCTTGGTGGATGTTTGCTCCATTGGGGGGGGTGTTGAACATGATCAAACTAGTTGTGATTGTTTGCAGTGCAGTTTGCGTGCTTGGCACTCAGCTGTACATATTGAGCATTTGTTCGCAAATGTAGTTTCCCATAAACTTGTGCCTGGTAGCCTCAAAAATAAGACACAAGGTCACCCACCGGATCCGTTCACGGGGGCTTGCGGGTGTGTACAACGTGAGGAAGTGCAAATTTAGACCCACTGAAGACCCGGGGAAAAATATCAAGAGCCCGAGCCCTTAATGACTTTAGTGTGTGTGCCAACAGCTGGGGACAAAGGATCCTGACTTTCAACAAAAGAATGGCGCAACGCCAATACATGGTGTTGTAGGAGCAATAGCACGCCGGAAGTCTAGTAAAGACGGCCAAAACAAAAACCGTGTTGGTTTTGTCAAAACATGAGAAACGTGATGCAAAAAGGGGTGTTGGGGTGTATGGCAGTGTATGGTATGGTTTTGGGATATCGCAACCGCAAGCGAAGCGAGGAACCCAAAAAGAATATGATGGGTTCGCTTCCCCAGTTGCTCCATGTTGACCCGCCCCAAGGACGATGTCTTGCTCAAGTCAGAGATGCAAATGACTTTGGACTCTAGCTCTTGATACCTCCAAACAAATCCACAGAGGTTACGGTTATGGAGGCCTGACCTGACAAAAAGAACTACCTTCCAAAAGTCCCTGTAGCAAGCATGATCCAAGCATTCATACAAACAGCCAGCACGGGAATCTATGGAGTCCATCGGTTTCCACAAGCACCTTGACGAGTAAGCCCATATGTTGCGTGCATCCAGGCTTGACTGGCTTCGCCACTGGCTTTGCCACGTCGCAGGCACTAGCTTCGGTTCATGTAGCTTGGTCTGGGGGTCGAGACCATCAGCCCACCTCTCCTTTGTGCTATGACCACAGGATAACACAATGGGAGTTCTAGTCTTCAATGGTTTGGAACTCGGGTGGGTTGAGGGGTCGCAAGTCTTTCACAAATACACAAACACAATCACAATCTTGAGTCTGGTTGCTTGATGTTGCTTGTGCAACATGGACATGATACGAAGGCGGCCAGGTCTGGAGCCCAACAGGTACTCAAGCCATCTGAGCGAAACTGCAGCGCCTGTCCATTCCCGGCAAGACATGTACAAACATGCAAATGGCCAGGATTTGACATCAAGCAGTTTGATAGTCTCAATCAGGCTGGGCAGGGAAGATTACGAGATGTGTTCAGTTTTTTATGTCCAAACTCCTACTCCCACCCTGTATTGGGTCTAGCTCCACCATGCAACGCCCAAAACAAACCTTTTCTTTGGCAAAGGTCAGTTGACGTCGAATGTGCCCACGGGTTGGCCAAGTCTACTAGGTCTTCAGGAGCTCACCTAGGTTTTGAAGTGCTCGTAGTCCCTGAAGCGGAACTCCTTGTGCGAGTGCGGAACCCACCTGGTTGAAAGGTGAGGAGCCAGGCTTGGGACAAAACGACGGCGCTTGTTCTCTTTGTGCAAATGGGATATTTGCCTAGTCGGCATGCCTTCTTTTTCAGAAAGAGTGGTGCTCGCACCTTGGGGCACATCAAACCACTCAGTTGACATGTTCAAGTACATCATGTATTGGAAAATCGCTGCAGCTGCAGGCCTGTGGTATCATGGGTGTGTTCCAAAAAGAAGGTGCTCCGCAAAGACCCTTCAGTAGATGGGAAAACAAATAATAGTGAAGCATTGAACTGCGATGCATGTCGCGGCCCGGTCACCGCTGGTCAAAGGTAGGAGACCCAAACCCAGGAATTGGGTCAAGCAAATGATCTCCCGTTAACTTCGTGAAGAGTCTAACTTTGGCAAACAAAAGTGATCCGTTCACTCCCCGAAACCGGACAACCACATGATCATCTCCTGCTTCAAGAACTCCGTGCCAGCCATGCCCAAAGCCCCCAGCAGCTCACTGGGCAAAGACCTTGCGGGATTGAACCGGTGACCTGTACAGGAGGGGAATCCTCTCGAAATCATCCATACCTGCTACTTTTGAAGGCCTGTTGACAATTTGATTGGACTTGACGCCTCCGCATCCCTGCTGAAAAGAAATTGCTTATGGGAATGCTCGCAAGCGTTCATGAGCGGATCTGGAAACCTCTTGGGATGGTCTACCTCCCAGTACTAAGAGAACCTGGTCCATGGTGGAGAGATCTTTTTTCTCAACCCCTCGAAAAACCGCGAGGTCTTCCGCGTCCCATGTCGCCATGCTCCGACCGTTTTGTCTCTGATCGCGAAGAAGCGACAGAAAGGTGGGTGCCAGTTGCGTCTGAGCTCCAGCCAACCCCACCAGGAAGAGTGCCGCAGCAGCCTCACAACGCGGGTGGTCAAGAGTGGCGCCGCCGAGACGCGGAGATGACATGAAGAGCTGAACACTGAGCAGGCCGTGGATATCCGTGGTGCTTACAGCATCCGACAAGTGGAAACCGCTCAGGTCAGAGGTTTTGTGAAACTAAGTGCTGCTGCAACAACAGCCACACTCCCCACGTGTTATTGAAGCACTTTCTGGTGATGACTTTCCCAGTGAATCCTCTCTACCAGCCACAGGGTTGGCTATAGTCTCAAAAAACTATCCAGGTCATAGCCTGACTCCCTCAGTTTCCCTACACAATGAAGGTTATCAAACCTTTTCCACCTGGTGGATCTAAGTGGTGTGTCCCCAATCCCCCAAAAGGTTTTGCAGGTGGTCCACTGTTCCTGGCTAGTCGCGGAACGCTCCAACTTCGCTCCAACTTTGGCCTTCGTTGACCCAAACGCAAAGCCGACGCACCGAGCCTTCTGAACTAGCTCCATGTTGCTGAAGGCCTTTCACAGCTCAGCATGGCTCAGCATGGCTTGGAATCAGCGTGGTCGCGTAAGTCACTGACTCACACGACCCAACGCGGGAAAGGACAAATCATGGGAATCACGGGTGCTGAACTTACATGTGCTCGTGTTTTCTTGGAGAATTTATGTGTATATATATATATATATCACATCTCAGGAACTCCTGGCATAAAGCATAAGTCCCAGGTCCCAAGAGGTGATTTCCGGGTGCGCGTCCAAAATAGCTTTTGGGGAGTGAGCCTGAACCAAGTCTAGAGGGGGCAGGGGCATCGATCAAACACAATGAACCATGCTCGCCTTTGGAAGGGATGCTTTCATCGGCTCATCCAAAAAGACTCTGAAGAAATTCATGTTAAAAAGAAACTCCCCCAAAATGCTGTGACTTCTTTGGCTCCAAAACACACAACAGAAAATCGGCACCTCGCGGCAATGCCTGCAGCTGGCGGTGTGCTGCTCCCAACCTCGAGGCAAGCCTAACTAAAACCCTTCCTGGGTTTCTCAGTGAAGGAGAATCCAGGTAGGAGGCTCTCAGCAAATCCATGCAACTCCTTCCCTGACTTTGCCAACGGCCGTTGCCGCCGTCAAACTTCCAACAGCGAATTGGGCAAAGCTCCGTTGCGCTTGGCGCAGGCAAGGCTCGATTCAGCAGATCTTCTCTGGCCAGCGGGGAGGGTGGCAATGGCACCTCTGTCGTAACGGCAGGAGGCAGTGCTTTGTGACAATGGCGAAATGGAAATCCTCAGAACCGGCAGATTCTCTAAGCAATATCGACTATATAAAAGTTGGGTGCCTCAGCAAAGGCTTGATCCAAGCATCTGACTTCAGCTCTTACCTAGCTTCTCACCTGGTACAGCCACTCGATGCAAACCAGAAACTGCTTTGCTCAACTTCCTGCTCCCAATGAAATCGTGCACTAGACTATGGAGAGTACCCTCAACAATCATGCCAAGCTTTTGGGTGAACCTTACACACACAGTTGCTCCTTTATGAGAAGCAAAGTTGATGAGAACGACTCGAGTGACTCAAGCACTCACAGCCTCTGGATCCACGCAGCGGGCTTTCTCCTGCAGCTTTCGCATGATTGGCCAATTCAACTTCATGGAACCACTGGAGTCATATTATCGGTGCCTTGGAGACTTGGAGAATCTCACAATCACAAACTATGTTACATGGATCATGGCTAATCCGAGTCAGCAATGCCAGAAAAGGCCCATGGACCATCAAAGTGTATTGCAGAAATACATCTCTGGTGCACCCATATCTTTTTATTGCTAGCGGTGGACCCAGGTTGTTGAACGTCCCTCCTGTTTGTTCATAGATCCGACGAACTGAAATCCGGATCTGGATGGACGTGGCTTTTTGGACCAACGACATCAGAAGCTGTGGACATGAAGTCCCAATTGGTTGCACTGGCATGGGAGATGCAGAAGTATTGTAGAACACAAAGGACAAAAAGAGCATGGCATGGGTGAAACTAGGACTAGAGATCCCTCACTACAATCGTCAAAAAAGATGTTCATAAATAACTCTATTCAAGTATCACGTCCCACAGCCCTATGCTCCCCATGCTCCGCTGCCCGCCATGAGCTCCTTGGCCAACCACTGACGCCATGCACCGATGCTCCGATCTGACTCACCTGCACGGGCAGCGACCACTCACTCCAAGGATTCAGTTCAGCGATGGCCTCAGCTGACTGAAGAACCGGCCGTGCACTTTGGGCCGGAAATTGCTGAGAAGACTGTCCTGCAACTAATGATCTTGACGTAAACATCACAGATTACATCAGAACAAGCGGTCATCCCAAATCAAAAGCATGCTGCAGCATGCTCCTGTTTCTGGAGAAAGTCCTGGTCGTGGTAATGTAGTGCTGTCAAAGCATGGAAACTGTAGATCACATTCTATTTATATATTTGCCCTAACTCCCCACGTATGGAAGCCCCGGACGTCGCCTGGCATGTAGTAAGCGCTGGACCAGCCGTCGGGGCCTGCGGCCTTCGCACGAAGCTTCCGCTCTTGGTAGTGCAAGAATGCCAGGTCACTGTCCTGGGCCAAGCCAATTGGGGCAGGTCTTGTCCATGAAGCAGGCTTGTCTTTTTGGGATGGCAAAGACTGTCGCCATCGGGTGAAAACACCAGAGTCGCTCTGAGTAAAGCTCACAGAGCTGGCAGAGAATGAGATTGTTGGCTCTGAAGCTCCTTCTTGACGGTTTTTGAGCATCTATTGACCGGTCAATAGACAAAGTGAACACATATTGTTTCACAAAAAGGATAGGGTTCTATGTGGGGGTGCATTGAATTACACCAGTCACTCAGATTACGGTACGGCTGGAACTCAAAGAGTCCTGAATTCCGTCGAGGTGAACTTCCTATCCTCCCCCACACTTTCTGCCTTTGGACAAGACAGGAGCAGCAATAAACATAGCAACCACAGGGTTGTGAAAGTTCCTTTCCTGCAGCCAAAACCCATTTTGCTATGTTCAGGACTAGCCAGAAGCAGCCTCTTCTGTCACGTCTGCCAAGGCACAAGGAAGCGGTTGGACAAGAGGTGAATGGCCCACGGTGGAAGGATACCTTCGTCAAAAGCGACACAGGAAAAGAGGTCCACCCTGGTTCACAGAGGGAAGGTGTCCGGGCGTCCGTCCCGTGCGGACCAAAGGGTTTTGAGCTACCATCGTGGCCGAAGGGCTGCGCAAACCATGGCTCCAGGGCTCAACTCAAACCATTTTCATGCACTCTTCATGTCTTCATATGTATATATGTTATTATATATTTATATATAATGCTGGAGCAAAAACAAATCCATCCAAGTCAGGCATGTTTGAAGAGCCTCGCCCACATCTTCGAGGCCCTGAAAACAGGGTTTCCAACATCAACGTTCGCCCGTGCTCCCTCGTCGAGAAACTGGGGTTGAAGCTGTGGCTCGTACACTTCTGATGAATGCCCTTCCCTTCTGTTCTTTTTTTGCCCGTGGCCCTGCCTCCTTACTTGTTTAAGTGTGTGCCATCTCACGCACTCATGATTTGGTTCCTAGATCTTTGGGGAAACTTGACTTTCATTATCTATTTATTATCTATTGAGATGCCACGAACAACAGGAGTCTGCCCACAGTCGCTTTTGGTCTGTCCGGAATGGGTTCAACATCTGGTTCCTGTTGGGCAAACGAAACCCAAGCAGAACCTGATCTTCATCGTTGATTTATACCAACTCCACTTGAGCAAGCCGCTTCCAGACTGTCCTGTCAGAGTGGCACAAGGAGCCAAACACGGAAGCAAAAAAACTCCAGTGCAAAGAAGATGTGTGACGTGTGACTGTGTGGCTCGAAAAGGTCTATCTAAATCCAGTAGTCTGTAGTGGAAATGTCAACAAAAGCATACATACAACAGGCAATTCTGGAAAGTCCCTGAGCTAGCGAAGTGATCATGCAACAAATAAGTGGGTCTAGCTAGAAAGCCTCCAAACGGCAATCCCGCAAACGACCAGTGGTTTTGGACCGTCCCACAGATCAGTATTCTCCTCCAAAAGTCACTTGGTGAAAAAAGGATCAAAAAGGGCTCATTTCACAGGAACAAAAGTGTTTCAAGGGCCCGGCGTTTGTCGCAAGGAGGTTTGTGGTCAGTCTATCCAGGTCTCCTCCGCGAGAAGCATTGGCCAGAATCAGCCGGGACCATCCAGGAGCCACTGGCACACAGGCGCAGTTCAAGCCTGGGCGATGCAATCGGAATCACTTCTTCGGATTGGGGAGACTATGTTTTCCCTCTTACCCGGAGTACATGGTTAAAATTTTCGTGCCGTCTGAAGCAATGTCAATCGATGTCCTTCTTCACACCCATCAACCTGAATCAGTGATGCGACATGTATTCTGTATTCCAACCACTCTGATTTTCGGCCAGCCCCGCCCCCTAACTTCCCTCCCTTTGGGCCCTACCTCTACCTCCCGACTCATTGCTTCGCCCCAGGGACGAAAGCGCGGCTTGCCATCCGGCTCGGTGGATCCGCGGCGCTCGGAGAACTTTTTGAACTCCAAGTTGTCACCATCCCCTTTGAACCTCGTGAGGTGTGCCGCTGCGCTGTCAACCAAAGACAGCAGCAAAAGCACACGCGCAGCAAAGAAAACCAACGGGCAGCTCCATTGTTTGGCACTCTTGCAGGACACCCTTGTAGAACACTCTTGCAGGAGTCATGCAAGATAATCCGTCCAAAAGCTTCCCCCCTGTCACGCCTTCGGACGGTGGCCCCATCGGCCGAGACTGTTCCGTTGCGAACACGAACAGCGACGTCACGCGAACGTTCAACGAGAGCAACGCCACTCGCCGGAGTGGCTTCAAACTGACTTCAGACCGTGGGGATTGAGGCTCACCAGCTGTCACTGTCAGGAAGAACCATCTATATATATATATCTAGCTGCAATTACTTCTACCTGGAAGGTCCTGGAAGCGGCGAAACGTGGATCGCAAGAGACAGAACGAGAAATGAAAGATGAGCTGGAAAGTCTGTGCACGAAATCCCCCATGTTCTACACAGACTACCTTTCGCAGTTCGCACTTGGTCACACAAAAAGAGGTGAGTTGAGCGTGGTTGAGCAGAAAAATGAAAATGAAAGTCAAGGAGCCAGCGGATGTTCAGCTATCATGGGTCCCATGGGTTGCTGGGGCACCTATTGTGTGATCTGCAAATCAACTTGGGCTTGGCCCATCTAAGCCACACTCTTTGAAATGCGCAGGCTGAAGGCATCGCAACAGCAGTGGGCCGCTGGTCCCTTTTTTGGGGGGGGGGACCAAAACTGGTTCTTTCCAAACACGGATGAGAACTGGGTGCAATCCGATATCCATCCTCAATTGAACCGAAACCAAGATCAGGCCACAACAAAGCCAGGTAAAGCGTTCGAACAGCAGAACCGAAGTCCCAAAGGACCAGGTCCACGTGTCCTAGCCAATGACCCAAGTTCACTTCTCAAACCTGCGATGTTTGGTCTGCCCCATCGCCGTTACAGCAGCTACACCTTCACCAAGGTACTCACCAAGGTAGAAGAAGAAGAACGGCGATCGCAAAGAGAACTGCGCTTCCCGCCGCATGCCTGCAGGAAAGTGTCGAATCAAATGAACCGATCCTTCCACTCCTGGATCGTCTGCGGGTTGCACGTGCAAACAAGAGCCACAGGCTGGACGTTATAATTAGTAGTAATTACCTACAAACATGTCCTGGAGAGCGTTTCAGAGGCCACTAGCACAGCATTTGTCTCATGTTTCATGCCACACTCATCCCATCGTTGGACGCCCCATCGCCACCCCATCCTCCCCCGCTTCGGAGGTTCGTCTCCTACACTCACCCCATCCATCGTCACCCCATCGTCTCCCTCCGATGTGTCCGTCATGGCACCCATGGTCCGATCCCAAAATGTGAAGCTTAAGATCTCGCCGTGCTCGTTGGAACTCTTCCTCGGCGCCATGCGGAAGAATTTTTGCCATGGAGTCCATGGAGGTGAAGCCTGGGAATGCCTCGAAACTCTCGCCACAGGAATGCTTGGCTAGTGATTTTTGCCACAGATGTGGAATGGTGTGGATTGCTTTGTCATGAGTAGAATTCACCCGAAAACATCGTGCGCCAGAATTCCCCCAAAAATAGCAGAGCTCACCACCATAGAAGAACCTATACACATTCTATCATTCCCATGGACATGGTCTTCATAATATGGTCTTCCTGTTTCCCTCCATGGCAGCCCGTGAACCCACTTGGGCTACCCTTCCTCCCAACTCGTTGACAAACGAAGAGTGAGTATCACTTGAAACTGCAAGATTTAATTAGGACACACACAAATGTTGATCCTAGCGCCAAGGCCATCTGAGTTCCACCAGTTCCTAGCAACAAGTCAGTGGCCCTTCAATCCACAGGGTCCATGAAGTGTCCAATCTGCATTATTGCGTCCGATTAACACTGTAAGTTCAGCGCCGCAACATCATCGGACGAAGATGGCTAGCTGTGTGGAATCTGGAAAATCCATGATGCACATCTGTGACTTCATCAATGTGGGCTAGGCCGCTGTCCGACGCAATCCATTCGCCCACGTCCGAGCTGCATCTCTGGGATGGTCATGGACACTGGCACCGCGTCATCGCGAGTGCCTCTGCATCACCATCGAAGGTCTATCTCGATTTGACTCAAACAGTACCCAGCTCTTAGTTAGCACCCACTGGGGAAGGGCACCTAGTCTTCTCACTCGTGAGTTGGTGTATTCGCGTCCTTTTACAGCCAATGTTTCCGTCTGTGAAATAGATGCAGCCTTTGCTGATTCAGGGTTGCGCGGTAATCAACAGGACCCAGGCTATAAAGGAGGGTGCTGAAGGCACCAGGTTCGGCGTTTGGTCCACATCCTCTTCCCTACTCTCCTCACAGGAATCTTGACATGTCCTGAGTATCTGTTGGGGCATCTCATCTCCAAGAAATGGGTCTGAGCCAGCCACTACTGCTGAACGAGAAGAGAGACCTGATCTTCCTGCTGAACTGCAATTGAAGCTCAGTGCAAAGCCGGGAAAGGGTGGGTACTTTGGAATCTGAGTGGTTGAAGAAAAAGCTACAAATCACAAGGCTTACACTTTGCACGTCATCTGCAAAATCTTAGGACTCCATGAAAGCCTCTACAAAAGGACTTTGAGTGACCATACCCTGTGCACTATCTGGACGCCCCGAAAACATGGCCTATAGAATTGGTATACCAAGGCTCTCTGGCTCGACAAAAAGCTTTGTAGTTGACCTATCAGTACCACCCTTATCACACCGGGTTACCGAAGCATTGTTCAAGGCGCAATTCTATTTGGGTATTGCATGGGAATGCATGCTCAACCAAGCGAGCTCCATCCTCCTTCCCTCCTTGATTCTCCTTTCCTCCTTCTTCCCTCTGCACGCTCCACCTTGCAAGCCGTGATGTGCGAAGGGCACGTGGGAGACGTCAATGAGATTTTCCACCAGACTGTCGTAGCCTCAGACTTCAAACCGACTCAGGCAGGATCGCGATGAAAAACCGTCGGCCGGACCGTCAGTGTCGCTCGGAATCGACACCGGCTCGGGGGGCGTTTCCAGGTCGTCGTTCGGTGGTGCCACACTGGGACGCCACGTGGAAGCATTGCTGTAAGGATGAAGCCATTGGGATGTCCGAAACACCGTGTCCAGAAGCAGGAAAGCTGCAGTGTCATGCATCGAGGAAGAAGAAGAAGAAGAAGAAGAACATGTGGAATATGGTGGTAATGGCGAGCTTTACAAGGTCTGTTGGTCACTTGGCTACCGGCTATCAGCTCAGCTTTAACAATCTGTACAGCATTGCGCATTCAGGGCGACCTTTATTCCATGGTTTATTTCGTTGGCGCGGACGGAGATGGAGAGATAGTACTTGAAAACATCTCCTGCGCTCGAACCCCCATGTGCTTCTCCACCTAAAGGAAAGTCTCTTCCGAACCTCGAAGTCGTTTTGCACCCAAGCAGCCATAAGGTAAATCTCTAGTGTAGGTGCCTGCCACCTCAAACTCAGACTCCAAGTGACTTCCTGCAGTGTAGAGAAGTCAAGCAGAGATTGACATCCAAAGATCCGAAACAGGGTCTGAAACAGGGCAAAACCTGAATCTTCACCAGGTCTGATCGTAGAACATCGTCAAGTTTGATGGCACCTGCCTCCCATGCAAGCCTGCCGGTGTAGGACGAGAATTTGTGTGCCCAATACAGCGTAAATGGTTGCGACCTGGTACCACTCACCTGTGTGATCCAAATGCCCAATGTGTGATCCTTGTCGCGCCTGGCCTTTCAGGACTCGAATTGGGCCGATGCAGGGAAAAGGCCTGTAGAACACCCCATAAAAGCATCGCATCTTTTTGGGGGGGCTTTCAAATCGGAACAGAAGAAAGGGGTACTCGGGTACTCTCCAAAACAGTTTGTACATTCTTAACCCATGGTTAGAAGTAGGGCAAGAAATACACAACGGAATGTCCTTCTGCTGTAAGCGACCCCAAAACCTCTTAGACAACATGTTGACAGTCAAAGTCCCTCCATCTCGCCGGGCATCGCCCCGCCTTTCACCAGATCCTTTGGATGACCCTGTGGCTCGCTCTCACCGAGCCAGACCCAGACCTTGGGGCGATCGGACGCGACGAACCGGGCGCTCCTGGCCTTACTACTAGTAACAAGGACGCTACTAGGAACAAAGGGCATCGCTACGAACGGAGCAAGGACGCTACTAACATCCTGCTTGCAGGGCCAAGAGTATCACCCCAACTGTCGCCATGGTCGCCACTGTCGCTTCGCCACCGTTTTCGTTGTTACTTGCTGCTGTTGTTGCTATCCCATCAAAACTCTTGGCTGTAAATCCTAAGTGGAGTGGAGGCTTGGCCCAAAAGTCAGCTATTCGAGCCAAGAGCTTGTTCTTGCCCAGAGGGGTGGCATCCAACCCCCACCACTGTCTTTTGTGGGAATAAATATGAAAGTTGACAGATGCACACTTTTGTACGTCAGACACCGTCAAACGGTCATCTGAAAGAACTAATTCACATCTTGGGGCTTGAACAGGGGTTTTGCAGCGCCCCGTAGAGTGAAAGCGCCCCGTAGAGTGACAGCTGCAAAGAAAATGGCCACTTCAGCTCGTGCGGTCGCCTTCAGTTCGTGCAGAACTTTACCGAACTCCGCCTGAGCACTGACACCCAACTTGGCATCTTCCGGACTTCACACCCACTTACCCACATGGACCGCCAAATCCTGCACCCCGGTCTCTCCCTACCCTCCGACTTCATGCGATCTTCGCGGCTAACTTCATGGCAATCTTCGTGGGGAAGCTCCGCACCTTGAAAAAGGCTCCGGAAAGAACAAGGAACCAGGAGGAGGATTGTAAGAATCCGCTCCGCATTGCCAAATGGTCTCTATGTCTATGTTTGTTTTAGGTGGTGGGAGTAGTAGTAGTAGTAGTAGTAGTAGTAGTAGTATATAATATCTACCTCTCTTGGCAGGCAACAAAAGTTCTGGACCCAGGTTGACTAGTCTTGCGGAGGAATAGGTTGTGTTGATTGCAATTGGAATGGCAAGGGGTGTGTCGACTGATGTGTGTATATATATATGTGTGTGTGTGTGTGTGTGCGCGCGCGTAGAGTAAACGTTTGGACCATTTGGGAAAACTATAAGTTAATTATATTAAATATGTGTACTATATATATATAAGATATATGCCTCGAAATGAGGTCGCATACCAGGGGTGTTCGAGCTTTTATAGGGGAGCGAACACCCTGACTCAACTCCCCGTTCTACCGCCGCCTGCGAGCGTGAGTTTTGCCGCATCTTCTCAGCCGCCGCTTCCTGCGAAAAGCGATTAGCCAGAGGTGTTCTGGTGGGTCCCAACAGTCGCTCAATCTTGTCAGGGTACTAGAAGCAGAAACCTCCCCAAAAAGCCGGGAAATGTGTGAGCCTCTACTAAAAAGTGAGCAGTCAATTACAGTACCTAAATTGTTGAACTGTTGGGAGCACACCAGGGATTGTTTCGGAAAATGTACGCTCGCCAGGAGCTTCTTGCTAACTCCCAAACTTGCCCTGACTGTTCACAAGGCTTTTAAGACCAGGAAAGTAAGGACATGACATCATGCTCAATGGCCCAGGATTTGCTGTGCTCTGCCCATGGTGGTCCACCCGGTGACTCAACCAGTGCGGTTTTGTCCAACAACCGGACGGTCTCCGTCAGCGCCTCCACTTGGGGAATCTTGGTACAGTGTCCCTCCGAGTTGAATTCCCAGCCATGATAGGCACACCTCAAAACCGGAGGGCTCAACATAGCAAGGGTTGGCAAGGGTCAAGGACAAGCTGTGGGCCTTTTGGTGAAATTTATGTCTCTGATCTTGATCAGGGTTGTAGAGTACAATCAAACCAAACATTCCATTCACCTCTCGCCCAGGAAGCTCCTAATGATCACACCATCCATGATGGTGGCATCCTGACACCTACCTGTGGCACTGACCTTCCTAATAGCAATCATAAAATTGCCTATCATAATCCAGCGTCTGTGTAGTTGTTGAAGAGTTGGAGCTTCCAATTTTGAGCAGGTCCAGAGATCAGAGTCACAGTTCTTAAACACCATATGTTGACTTTTCATGGCTGCGGTAATAGATCTCTGGTTGGTTGCGTTGGCTGTCTATGGCTCCAGCTGGCGGCATTTCCTCTACGAATGGCAAATACAAAGGATATTGGAGTGGGTCGAGGAGCTTGGAACAACCTGTAAACGGAGCAGAGAAAACACTTTGTTGACCGCTTTGAAGTTAAAGGAAGCAAGACAATGGCAGAGCAGTATCCCAGTTTATTCATAGTGTTTCAAGTACATATGACATATGGGGTGGTGCAAGATTCCTTCTATCAACAAAAGCAGGAAGAGTCTCGCTGATATAATACCCATGGAACCCCAGGGACTGACTGGATGTGAAAGTGCTACTGTTGCTACCATCTCTAAACAGCGCTAGAGCATTCGGTGATGAAGTTATTTGGAATCGGCTGCTAAAGATTCTGCGTCGACCACAGGAATTCATTAATCCCAATTCCCCACGCTCATGAGCCCCACCCACCAGCTACAGTTGGGCATCTAGGGTCCCGGCTGCAGGCATTTGGTCGTTGGTTCTATGCGCCCTTCCGACAAAGGTGCCAAACGATGAGGACATGCATCGCTCATGACCTGAGCATCAACTGCCATGGGTTTTTGCTCTGTCACGGCTGCAAGTCGACCAAGTGCTGGAGCACTTCCACAGGAACACTGTGTCCAGGTCATCAAGAACATCGGGGTCGTTGGCCCCCAGCTGCAAGCCTAGTAGGAAAGTGGTCAAATGCGGAAGTGAAGAATTCAAAACCCATCTGGTTCACCCAGAGGTGGCACCTTCTTGCAACCAATGGTCAAATGATTATTTACATCAGCTATACGATTTGTGTGCGGCCGCTTTCCCAAGCAGTTTGCAGCCTGGTTACGATTTGTACAGGAGCAATTGTGCCTCCACCGCATTAGCCTTGCTACTGTAGTAAAACGGGACACCAATTGAAAAAAGGATTGAGGGAAACCACCACGTTTTGAGGCACCTGAATTCTATGTCTCCCCTGCTACCCATGCCACCCTTGCGCGGCCAACCGCGTGCGACGCAAGAGCTGCGCCACAGCGTGTGCTGTGATCAATAGCTGGTGTCCCAGACTCGCCATCCCTCATCCTCGGCATCTTCTTCACCAGGGACCTGCGGAAGGTCTCTCTAAAAACCAAAGAATCAAAGGTGAAAAGGTGGTCAAGAATCCTCATGAAAGTGCCAAACCCATTGACCACCAACCTGGATTCTGAGCAGGCCTCCAACCTGACAGTGCAACCCCCACGGAGCCCCACGGCACCTGCCAGACCACCAGGTCCACACCATCCAAGCGCACTGGCGTCGGCCGTTGAGGATCCAACTCCAAGGTGGAGGCGATGGGGAACCAGTGCCTCCGCCCCAGCAAAGGAAGCAAAAACTTGGAGGAAAGCTAAAGGATCCAAATCCGACTTCTGGAAAGAGATTGGATTCCAAGAGGCTCTCATGGCGTGATCGACTTTACAACTGGTCCACCCAAAATTCATGTTCCCTCGCTTTGGTGGATGGTTTTAGAAGATTGGAGACTCTGAATGGGTGGACCAGCTTGGGAAAGAAGGAAAGGACCCCAGTACCCCAAAAGATGACAAGAATAACAACGCCTCTTTTCGGACTTCACCTGAGCAGTCTTTGGCTCGGCAGCCTGCGCAGCCTGCGCTCCGACCCGGTGATGCGTGGGCTGACATCGCATCCACATGGCACGTGGGAGGTGAGCTGTTGAATTCATGGTCCCGGCGATTGGATGGAACCTGTGATACCACTCATCACGCGGTGCGGATGTGAACCAGAGACGGAGATGTGAACCAGATGCTCAGGTGTCCTTGAGCTCCTTGATGAGCTCTTCAAGTTCACCCGCAAGCTTGTGATAGTGATCCACTCTCGGTTTCAATTCTCGCGCACACTTGCCTGGGCAACGTTCGGCCTAATTAGGTTTTGGGGAATCCAAAAGAGCTTGTTTGGGGAATCCACGCGGCATCCTCTTCCTTTTTGTTGAAGCAGTATGGTGTGAGGTCCTCAAATTCAAAAAGCTTTGCAGCTGGACAGGTGAAATAGACAGCTTCCAACTCGGGGGGGCCGAGTCTGTCGCAGATATGCAGCCAACTTCCCTCTTCCAAATGAACCAGATTGGTGAATCTGAATGCAATTCGACCAGGCAGTGATACGCTCATAATACCTCCCGCACAAACCAAGTCTATATAGAATTTAGCCAAGTCATGGCTCACCGGTCGTTTGGGAAACCCTGGCACACTGTGCAAGACTGGTGTGGCAAACACGACACACCGAACGCAAACTCAAGTCTCAAGTGTTTGTGTATGCAAAGAACATGCAATCGCATGTTCAACGACACTACAGGACATCGTCTTCTTACTTCTTCCTCTTCTTATTGCGCGTGCCTTATTTTACTGCAATATATAGTGTTATTGACCACCCGTCTTCTCTTCTCCTTCTCCTTCTCCTTCTCGTTATCCTTCTTTTCTTCTTCCCTTTCTTTCTTTTCTCATTCATCCCTCATCTTAACTCGTGCCTTCTTCTATCCCTCGGACGGAAACTCCCAGGATCTGGGATCGAGTCACATGTTCTGTTCCAAAAAAGCCCAGGTGTGCGTGCCAGCAAATTTCGTAGCACAGTTCTGAACATACTCTCCTGTATGGAGAAAAAACACACACTGGGAACACACAAATCGGTAGCAAAGATAAACAAAGGGGCCAAAAGTTGCATTGTTTCAGGGTGTTTGCTTGGCTGCCTTGCTTTAGCCACTTTAGCCCTCAATGCAAAGAAGGCCAAGCTGCTATACGCGTACAATGCCCTCATCCACTTCAGTGCCACTTTGGCCACCACGATGTCCCCAAATTCCCTTAGACGGCCGAACGGCCTCGTTGGCTGTCTCCAGCGGTTGCGCTCTTGAGGAATGACCCCCAACTGGCCAATGCCAGTCGAAACTGCTTGTTGATGTTGCACCGATGGCGTCACTTAGACTTCGATGTCCAGGCAACTCATGAAGACGGAGTTGCATGCAGGCAACTTCAAAAAGGGTGCTTTAGATACATGCTTCTGAAGAACTACAAAACTGCCAGCACGTTCCTGATAGATGAAACTCACCCACGGACTCTGACAGTTTTCATATGGTGTTGGGCCCTCATCCGGAAGCTGAAGAATCAACCCGCAACAATCCGGAAAATCCCGGTCCATCTGATTCTAGCCCCTTCAGTATACTTCGTGCAGTGCAGTACTTTCCTGCTTGAATATATGAATAAAATTTAGTTAATAGTTCAGGCTGGTTCCCAACTGGTTATTTTGTGCCCTGGAGGCTTGCAGCCTGGTTGACAAAAACCCTTTGCTTTCTGCACTGAAGCCCGTAGATCAGTTGATCCTATTGACTGCCGGATGATGAGGAGAGGGGGACCTTGCAGCTTCGCTGAGGTGACGGCCCCTTCGCTGGGGGTTCCAAGTCAGGGTCGGGCTCGGCCACAAAGATCTCCAGCTTCCTAAAGACCACGTCCTCACGAATCTGAATTCAAGACCAGGGAGGAGGAGACCTGGGCAAGACGTCTGTGTTTCTTTTCTGTTTTGTTACCATCTTGTGCTTTCAACACTAAGCCTCACTGTGATTCTCAGCATGCTCTTGTATGCGCCCAGGCCCGGTTCAGAAATCCTTACCGAAGCCACAAATCAATCCCAAACCCAAGCCGTTCAAGAAGGTCGATCATCATATTTTTTTTCGTCAGTGACCCACCTTTATGTCAGTGACATATTTAAAGGCCAAACCTCTTGACAAACTTGTGGGAATCATCAGGGATAGGTCCTGTCCTGTAAAAAGAAAACAGAAACCTAATAGCGAAGGCCTCCAACCTAAGACTTTAAGAGCGATGGCCTCCAACCAAAAAGGAAAAGAAACAACCCCACACAACCAAAAGAAGGTGCGCCACTCTCCTTGACATCGTCTCGGTCATAGGTCTTCCTCGGTGCCAGTCATTGCAACAGGGTTGGTTTCAACGATTGCTCAAGAAGGTTAGGTCTGCTCCATTGAGTTGCCTTTCTCCAACTTTCCTAACTTCCATCTATCCTCCAAGGACAGGCCCACCAAGAGAAAATCATGGAAATCAAAGCATCAAAAGGATTTGCCGATTTGCCGATTATACAATGAGGAAGAGTCTTTCCTCGCTGCGGTTGATGAGAGGTATATATACAGTACTCTCCAAGTTCCGGCTGCACTACTATGAGCACCAAGTCTGTTGGAAGAAGCTTGTGCGAGATAGCTGTGATCCCGACAAAACGGTTCCCTTAGAAGCACCCTGAATGACACCCCAAAATAGGACTGGAGACCATCATAACTTCAACACCAGCAAAACACCAAACCAAGTGGTTGTCAATCTCCTTCATGATTTGGGGTTTAGGGGCGGCAACCTCCAGCAGCGCCAGACAGATCCTGGAAGAACGTTGGACATCGGTTGCCCCAGATTCCCGAATGTTTGTTAAACTCTTCACCACCAAGAAGAAATGATTTGGAGCTCTGTTCAAGAAGCCTCGTGGGTCTTCACTCTGCTCCCACGTATGGCTTGGTTGCGACATGAGCAAGTTTTGAACGAATGGGCTTACTCTAGCCTTCCTTTTACCAGAGGTTTGTCAAGGGGTCTTTTATGAAAAGAGATAGCCATTAGCCATGCTGGATTTACAAACAACAAGTTTCATGGTGTTCTGCTTCGTTTTGGTTGGATGCGGATGAAGAAATCCAAAAAGCCGCGTGTGGTCTCGTCCGCTGACCTCCACGGCGATCGCGGCGATCAAATGCCTTGCTTCCGCCCTGCACCGAGCTATCCGAGCAGCATTCGCTCCACCAACTTGTGATCGAAACCCAACCTTCTCCAGTCCTTGGACAACTTCCCAGCAGGGTGAGGACCCTGATGTCAAGACATTCATGGGGTTGGTGGATTGTTTGTGTTGAGTTTCCCCACAAACCCTGACCTTCACTGGTGATGGATATGATTCCGTTGTGTATGGTTCATCCTTTTTGGTGGATGTACTGTATTGTAATTGTAATACACAAGGTCTCTTGCCTGATGAATCGAGCGGCCAGCAGCATCCGGATTCAAGCAATGCTCCCTGTGTCGCTTGAGGGCAAACAACCTCGCGGTGTGATCTCTTCTTGGAGTTGGGCACTCGCATTGGCTCAATCCTAGTGCTCCTTGGCCGCTAGAAGACACGCCGAGGGGTTTGGTGTTCCCAGGATACTCTCGTATTCTGTAACTGAGAAGGGGAACAGGGCCCCCTAGTTGCAGTGTCGGGGGGGGTCCAAACGGTGGGTTTGCACTTCCTTCAACAATTTAGATTCAGATCGACTGGTCCACCAGCCCAGCCGAGGTTCGTCGCTGTCCCTTGGGTGTGGTGTCGGATCATCCAGCCTGTGCGAAAATCTGAGGTGCCCCGGTGCCAGTCCGCAGGATCGTCAAACGAGGTGAACTTAGGTGAACTGCAAATGTTGATCCAGCACAGCTTGGGATGCGGCAAAAGTAGACTGACACTTTTGAGACAACTTTTTGGCACCAAGGGGGGGGTCTTTCTGTCTCGGTCTGCTGTCTTCTAACCAAAAAAACTATCCTGTTCAAAACATGAAAATGCATGTCAATACAAGGGGCAGGAGTTCCGGCTTCCACGGCAGAAGCTCCAAACGCTTTCAAGGCGACCCTTCTGAAAGCCAGCACACACCCAAGATCGCATTTCAAAGTCTTCAACAACGGAAGGCCCAAAACTCACGCAGCCGAGGAGCACAAAGTGCAGCAACTGAAAGGTCTCCCGGATTCCCGGAGAGACCTTCTTCTTTGAACGCGCTTCCGCGAGCTCCTTCATCGTCAGCTTGTCCTCGGCCCAAAGGTCGGCCATGGGCTTGGAAAAACAACACCATTTTGACTACAAAGGCCTACTTTGACTTTTACAACCAGGGTGGGCAAGCGGCATGGCACCTATATAAAACGACTTCGCACTGGCTGCGTCATGGTCCGCATGTCTGTATTGTGGGTCGTCCCGAGCCTACCAATAAAACAGCTAGGCTAGACTTCAAAAGACTGTGGCTTCCTTCAGTAACAGCACCATCTTGCAATCATCCAAACTTGCGCCAGGATGTGGTCCCTCAAACTACACCAGCATCAACCCCAAACAGCAGCGGCAGCTTGATGGCCAGCGAACCTTGAAAGTTTTTGCCGCCAGCCTTGAGCCATGAGAAACAAACGAAGCAAAGGAAAACAAAGCAGTTATGTTGGGCGATGGCAGCCATACATGGCCAACCATCAAATATTTTTTTGAAAAAAAGTGAAAAAAAAACAAAATAAAAGCAAATGAAAATGTAAAAACAAAGCAAAAACACAGCAAAAAGCAAAAACAAAGCAAAACAAAAAGCGAAAAAAAAGCGAAAAAAACGAAAATAAAGCGAAAAAAAAAGTGAAAAAAAAAGCGACAAATATGTTTTTGCTGTACCCTCCTAGGAAAAAAGCGAAAAAAAAAGCGAAAAAAAAACGAAAATAAAGCGAAGCAAATGCGAAAATAAAGCGAAAAAAAAAGTGAAAAAAAAAGCGACAAATACGCACAGCTACATTTTTTTGCTTTTTTGTTTGCTTTGCCTTTTGCTTTTTTTTTGCTTTGTTTTTGCTTTATAAAACTATTTTGGCTCCTTGTATCTATGGCTGGCGTGCCCGACATAACAAAGCAGAGTCATTGAATCATCTCAGCCCAAGCATCCAAGAAGAGCCACGGGAGACAAAGGCAAAGGGAGACAAGTCAGTCAGAACCATTTCAGCCAGAACCGCCGTGAACGGCGAAGGGGAACAAAGAGAGATTACACCTGCTCTCAGCCAGCATCCAAACGAGCCTGGGAGACAAAGGGAGACAAAAGCAGAAGCATCTCAGCCCAGCACCCGGAAGAGCCATGTGGAGACAAAGGAGACAAAAGGCCAGAAATCATCGTGGCCCTTTCTCGTCGTACTTGTCAAGCTTTCCGGCTCTTCCATGATCGGCAAGTCAGGCTACGACGAAGTGTATGACACTGAAGTGTGTGACAATGAAAGTGATGACAGTCCAAGTCAGACAGTGACAATATAGTCTATGAGATAAAATATGACTTCAGAATGATTTCATCGGAAGAACGCTTATCATCCTGATATGAACGGCGGTTTGAGTATGAACCATGATGGTTTGAAGGTTAAGGGTGGTTTGAGTCCGACAGTCAGTTAGTTATTATAGTTTGAGCCAGTCTAGTCAGTCCAGTGGTGGTCAGTCCATAGTTTAACTATTACTTATCATCATATAACTATAGCCCAGCACTAGCCCAAAAAAGCAAAAAATAGAAAATGTCCGAAAGGCCAACCCAGTTTTGTATGGCACGGCAAAGCTGTTTGGGGAACAAATAATTAGCAAAGTCAGGGCCCCTCCGACAGTGGTTCTAATGTTTCGGACAGTGTTTCTATCTGTTTGGGGACATCAATTTTTCTTGTTCCGAGTCTCGAGTTGACTCTCCATGGTCTCCAAGAGGGGTCGCATCTCCCTATCCATTTCCTCTTCCAGCTCATTTCGGAGCTTCTGCACTTCCTTGGTCTTTTGCTCAATCTGAATCTTCAGAGGAGGCCCCATCACCGGCAGTTCTTGCCAAGCTTGCGGGGCTACGACAGGAAAGCACTAGGAGTACTATAAGTATGCAACTATGTATCTAAGGTCCTTGAGCACACTAGGAGGATTATCATCTAAGCAGTCGGGCTGCTTTCAGGTGATGCTGCACACTCCCTGCTGAAGAATGGCTGCGTGTCGCCGAAGCTCGAGTCGCCCGGGTTCACAGCTTGGTGACCAGTGGATCAGAACGTCTGCGAAGAAGCTTCAGTGTATGGTTGAGAATCGCACCCGGGAATCATGGAGGAATCATGGAGGTTTTTGTTCCCTGGGTATTTGCAGTGGATTCTGAAATGTATGTGTATGTATATATATATACATATAATATAATATATATATATATATAGTCATATAGTTATATATACTGTGTGAATCTGTGTGATCTTTAGTACTGCAGAAAAAAGACATGTTTCAGCGACTGTTGCTGATCACCCCTTGGTGCAGGGAAGAGTTGACGTTCCAACCCTTCGAGAAGAGCACTCCACTGGAGGGAAGAAATGTGCAGTTTCTTGGGCTGCAAAACAAACGACAGCTTGGATATGTGTGCGCACAAATGCATCAAACAAAGATCATGCTTAGGCTTACGCAGCAGTTCGACCCTCTTCAACCTGTGACTTTACTCTTGAGCTGGGACTTTGAACACACCCCCGCATCTGCATGGTTTCACATTGACAGTTGGCCTTACCAAATAAAGTCCACGTAAACCTAGCTCCATCTCTCCTCCCCCCACACTCTTCCCACCCGCCGCAGCCTTTCCCGCCAGCTTGCGGCCGACCCAGCGGGGGCTGCTTGAATCACCGCAGGCGCGACCACTTTGGCGCCCGCGCCCCGCTGAACCGCCGCGCGCCGCGTCGAACGCCTGGCAAGTTCGATCGCAACATCGATCGGGACAAAGGTCGAACACGCGCAGCTGGGAAGGAGCAAACAACACCTGAAACATTGCGAACTTCCTTGTGCGGCGTGCATCTGTGCCTCTCCCAAGAAGAAAGTTCGCTCCCCGTCCCGCACCTGTAGCCAACGGCTAGCGCGCCAGCCGTCAGCCGCAAAAGCGGTCCCACTCCCTGTGGAGCTCTGAAGCCTTCTCCTGAGCTCTGTGGAGCCGATGGAGGTGTCCAAAAAACGCCTCCCTCTGGCCCAATGGATAGACCGGTCGATGTTTACTCTTCATGGGGTCGAATCGGGCCATCTTCCATTTCAATACAAACCGCAAACACATGTGGTGAAAAAGTGCAGCTGGGAAAGCCAGCGTCAATGAGCGATATTTTTAAGGAAAAAGGGGTTAGGAATCAACAGGTAGCTTTATCGACTTTTCGATCCAGGGGCCAATTCAATCTCGTGCCATCTTTCTTTGTGTAGCTGAATAGACTCCTCGCGGAAGTGAAAAGCAAGCAACACATCATGAAACTTGCCTGCTGATGGAGGGATTTTCAACTCTGTTAGCAGACCTGGCGTGCAACCCAACTTTCCCCTGACCTGCCTTGGACTACCGCTGCCGGTGCCACATGCGGGGGATTGGCCTGGCGTTTGACATGTCTGTTGGCCCATGCGAGTTTCGGCAGAGAAGTGGGACCAACGGTCCTCGTAGCTTGAGGACACTGGAGGTGAAACTAATGCAAATTAGGGTGTCGCGAAAAATCTGCCGATGCCGGTCTAGGATGAGAGGGGTGGGGCCTGCGCCCGTGTGATGTCGGATTGCCTGACACATGTGTAAATTCCATATTTGTTTCTGACCGTCAAGATTGTTTTCCCGAGAAAAGCGTTGCCCAGGATTTGGCCTGGGGCTCGACCCCCCGATGGTCTCTTTTTCGGATTCGAACATATGGGCCGCAGTGCGGTGCGGTCCGGCGCGTCTGCGCGCCCAAGAAGAAAAGGAAACTGGGTCCTTGGGGGGCACGCGTGGGACTTAGGCATATGTGGGATGCAAAAACCATTGTTGTTACTACAGTGTTTGTTGTATGTTTGCTGCCAAAAACGTCGACATTTACACGGTTTTGAGCACGCTGCTGACATCGGCATGTTCATCAAACAATAGCAAAAACCCTGCAATGTGCGATGTTTTTGCTACTAAAGTTTGATCAAGAATTGATCCATATGCAAAGAAAAGACTATGTAAATATCATCATGTTTGTGCTTCCCAAATTGTAAATATGGAGTCCATGGCTTGGCGTTCAAAAGCCTTGGTATTGGGTTGCTTTAGGCTCCTATATAATGCGAAAAACCTTGTAAATACCGTGGTTGTTGCTTGCCCAAGTACGAGGTCATTGGTATGATGCAAAAACCTCATACATAAATACCGGGTCTTTTTCTGCTTGGGGAGGTTGAGAGACATTTGTATTTTACAGTGTTGTTGTTGTGCTTTAACGGTCCACACCCTAGCTCATTCCCTTAACTGCAGGACCTCTGTACTTTACAGTGTTTTATCTCCTACTGCAACAAACAGCGCGTATATAAATAAATACCGGTGCGTTTGGCTTATCGATGTTCAAAAACACCGGTGGTGTTTACAGTGACTCGATAAGTTTCTTAGCAAGGGCCCTGTCTCGTCAATACTGCGCATTTGCTTGCTGAGGATCAAAAACATTAATATTTACAGTGTTTTTTGTCCCCAATGCAAAACCAACTAGTACATATGGTGTTTTCTGCAGAGCTGGAAAAGGAGGACCAATTACCACCAACAAAGAGATGGCCGGCGCAGCATCGAGTCGAGTCATGTGAACCCACCGGTCTGAAGGGGCAGGCGACGGAGTCTTGTGTGCATGCAAACAGAGCGAATGAGCCGAGCTTTGCTTGTGTTGTACGGCACCACAGTGTTGACAGGGTTACAGGGTGCACCGGCGGACAGGGGGAGAATACAGGGTGCAGTACGGTACGTTCCACCTCCAGTAGTGCACAGAGTTGGGAAGCCAGACGTCCGGAAGAGCTTTTACCTACGCAGCTGCATTCATCGACAAAATCTCCCTTGAATCCAAGACTTACGAGTCTCCGAATGCAACCAACCCCCTGGAAAAGGTGGCAGAGCATGGAAAGATGTCATGGAGCCCAGGCAATCCAAAGTGTGAGCCCAGGCTACTACTTTTCTTGTTTCTACTAGCTTCTTGTTACTGCTAGTAAGGCCCTTGTTCCTAGTAGCGTCCTTGTTCCTACCATCCACCCCTCGGCCCGAAACCGCTCTTTTCACGTCCTCTCGGGTATCCTTCACCGGCACCACGCAGACCGGTGCAGCCTTGACGGCCTTCAAACGCACGCTCGTGCTCGCGCTCCGCGGCCGGAAGAGCTTTGGGATGTCTTCCAAGGGGACACCTGCGATGTTGACCAATGAGACTGAGCAACTCAATGAGACCTGCCACCCACCTCTGCCACGACTTCTCGTTTCAAAACTGGTGTCAACTTCAATCAAAGATTGAGATTGAGATAAGGACCTTGGGCCTAAAAATATCCCTTTGGTTTGACATGTGATACCCACCTTTGGTCTCCTTGATGTAGAGGAAGACAAAAAGGGCGTTCAAGATGTTCAGCAGACCAAAGATCTGCAGAGTACCTGGTGTTGACCACTTCATCAACCCAGGTGTCAGGTAGACGACCGCCGCATTCGCCACGTAGTTCACACCCACCGCACAGCTCACGGCCGACTCTTTCTCGGACATGGAAAAGATCTCGGCAGGGTAGATCCACGGGATGGTACCCCAGGCAAACTGGAAACCAACGCCGTAGATGATCACAGAGGCCATGGTGATGATGCGTGGCCAGCCGAATCTCAAGGCAAAGCCAGCAATGGTCAAAGGTGGTCCCATCAAGGCAGTGGCCACGAGTAGCTGCGACCGCCGGCCAGCATAGGGTGAGTCGACCAGCAGCAACCCAGCAATGCAACCCAAAATCATAATGCTGTTGAAGATGGAATCAAACAAAATGGGATTTTCAATGCCACACTCTTTGAAGAGTGTGGCTGCATAGCCCAAAAAGGCATTCACACCAGTGGCCTGCTGTCCAATCACCAAGGTGCAAGCGATGAGAACGCGCTTTCGCAGGTTAGGATCCCGGAAGAGATCACGAAACCCCATGTGCTTCGTCTCCATCTCTGCTCTGATTTGCTCAAAGATCTGATCAGCCTCTGGTTTCACATCACCTGATCTGATGCGCTTCAAAGATCGCAGGCCACATTTGAAGGCCTCCTCCGGATGTTGATGCACCATCTTCTCCATGAGAAAGCGTGGCGACTCTGGGAGGAAGAAGCCGCCCAGCACCAGCAAAGCACCTGCCAGGCCTGGAAGCACCATGCCGAAGTACCAGTCATCGTCCAAGAGCGTCACCAAACACGAGACGAAGCATCCGATCACCACGTTCAACTGGAAGATGGACCCGGTGGCACCGCGAATCTGCGGAGTTGAAATTTCCGCGTTGTAGAGTGGCAGAGCGAAGCAACTGAGTCCAACACCCAGCCCAGTGATGAATCGCCCTAGAAAAAACTCCGCCACATTGTGGAAGGACAAGTAGGAGGCCATTAGACAGCCCATGAAGCAGACTGCACCTCCCATCTGGATACATGGCTTTCGGCCCAGCTGGTGAGTGACGAATGGTCCTAGCAGCACTGCGCCAGCCGCCGCACCAAAGGTAATCAAACTGGCGCCCCAGGTCACAAAGTCCTGCCAGCGGTCGTTCTGCAAGGATCCCAGCTCGCTACAACTCTCGGCATCCCCATACCTGGAGGGCGATGTCGTGGTGTCTTTTCCGCACGTCCGCTGAAAAAAATGTTTTATGTGTGTGTGTTTTTTTCCGGTACTGGAATGAATATAGTTGTGGAAACGAGGTAAGGCTGTCATCCAACAAGTCCATGTGACAGGTTGAAGGGAATTCCCTTGTTGTTCCTTCATTTGGGGGTTCGCATACAAGAAGAATTTGTAACGTGATAACATGAGTGATTCTAGCCGCCTGCCAACACACCACTCCGCTCGGAAAGATTCAAAAGCCTGGACATTCCCAAAGTTCCCCTGGTCCAGCCCAAACGTCGCGGCTCCAACCATCGCCAGTGCTACCGCCAAGTACATCTGGGCACTCGCGCGCGTTTGGATCGCCATGATGGCGGGGAAGTCCACTCACCACTCGGCTGTGACCAAACGTTTCAGTGGGGCTTCAGTTGACTGGTAATGGAAAGTGAAGAGAAGTGTATCAGGCCTGAAATGCTGCTTAAATTCAGATGGAGCTGCTTAGATCAAGCTTCTGTCTGGAACATCTTGCTTGGGAACCTCCACTTGTCAACCGAAACAGCTCCACGCCGAGGGTTCCAAGAAACAGGAGCATTCGACACCGAGCCCAACAAGATGTCCCCGCCACAAGGTATTTCCATGAAGGGGGTGTATGTCCTGACAAGCCACACAAACCAATCAAGCCCTCAAACATGCGTCGACAGCCACCTTCGTGGAAACACCCGCTGAAATCGGCACAAAGGCTGACATCTTGGAATGGAAAAGCAGCGTGTGAACGCTCCACCTACATCATCTTGGCTTGAACCAAAATCGCAGACCACACGAAACGGTAAAAATTAATAAACAAACTGCGTGGCTGGGCAGAAGGTCACGACGATTTGCTGAGGCTTGTGGGTTTTGCCGTCGTATTTCGGCTGTCTGGGAGACAGATACGTAGATAAGTGTGCGTGTGTGTGTGTGTGTGTGTGTGCGTGTTGCCGTCTTGCAAGAACAGGCTGTGGGTCACAACTAATTTCTCCCAAATGAATAATTCTGGTCTCCCGGAAAAGGTCCTGTCCCAGCACCAGCAGCCGCAAGAATCGGGGAGAGCGTAGAGTAGCTGCAGCCTGGCACGTGCATCGCCAGTGCCCAGCCATCTTCCAATAGTAAGCATAAACCAAGATGAACAAGGAGATCCACACCATTTTTTGCTGATCTCTTTCCAGCTTAACTTACTTGTTGTGTGAACAGCATTCTTTCTGGGGACATGTGTTCCATCTCATGGTCCATCCTCGTGTGGGCATCTGGAAAACGTTTTCAGCATAGCGAGAAGAATTGTGGAGACCCAACATGGACTCATCAAGCAAAGAAGTTCCTACTAGCAAGACCCAGCTTTGATGGAACAACCAAGCCACTTAAAATCACACTGGCATGGGCGCGGGTGTATAGGGAAAAACTCATAGTGCCTGAGGGAAGAAAAACAGTGTCTAATACGCTGTCAATGAGCGGTGCCAAGGCCAGGCAGGGACGACATGATGTCATGCCAGGGGATGACATCATGTCATGCCAGGGGCCAGCACCAGCACCTGCACCAGCACGCCCACACAAAACACCGATCCAGCAGCAGCAGCAGCAGCAGCAGCAGCAGCAGCAGCAGCAGCACTAGCACCAGCACCAGCACCAGCACCAGCACCACCAGCACCACCAGCACCAGCACCAGCACCAGCACGGCACCAGCACGGGCAAAAGGAAGCGCCGATCCAGAGCCAGCACCTGCATCAGCACGAACAAAATGCCGACCCAGCACCAGCACCAGCACGGCAGCAGCACCCGCAAAACGAAAACGCCGATCCCGAGCCACACCATTGACAAGTGAGAACCCCCTGTCGCTTGCAGCTCTCTGAATCTGGGGAATAACAATAATAACAATAACAATAATACTACTGTAATATTCGAGCCAGCTTTGGCCGATACCACTTGCGCATAAGTCATGTGGCATTCTGACATGCAGTTTAAAAACAGGACTTGTGGCATAAGGGAGAACAGGCATCAAGTTCAGAATCAACCCTGAACAGTTTAGAATCGACCCTAGTTCATTCACACACACACACACACATTCAACATGAGCTTTTGGGTCGTTTAGGTTCTCCCACCGAGCCTTTGGGTCGTTTTAGGGTATGAAAAGACCTCAAACGACTTGGGTGAGGTACGGTGGTTTTGGCACGAAAGGATTACAAGGCCTTCTTCACTCGAGGCAAAAGCCATGCATCCTGACTACCCGAATAGCCTCAAAACACTACACAGCCATAGTTCAGTGCCTCTTCAATTTTGGGGTCCTGAACGCAGGATTCCCAACTCCAGCTTACTAGCAAGCGGCAGAGCTTTTTGCGCTAGGAATGCAAGTCGCAAAGCCAGCGTGTCTGTACTGGTCTTTTGAATCCCCGAGCCCCAATGAGCACAGAGTGCTGCTTGTGATTCCACACACTGCATGCACGAGAACATGACGCAATCCTCTGGACGATGCATTTTACTTTGAGTCTGTCGGGGAGATGTGGATGCTCATGGTAGCTTCTTGTTACTACTAGTAAGGCACTTGTTACTAGAAGCGATGCACTTGTTCCTAATAGCTTCTTGTTACTAGTAGTAAGGCACCTGTTACTACTAGCGTGGCACTTGTTACTAATCCTCATGTGTTTCCGCATGATCTGTGTGCCATCACGTGTTGCCATGTGGACAATGGACACCCCTTTTCCTTGCCATTGATCTTGGACTTGCAAAGGAAGCACTAAGCAGGCAAGAACTGTTCCAGTATTCCTTTGTGAGTTCTTGTTCTAGCTCATCTGGCATATTAAATAGAATCGCTAAAGCATGCCCTTCGGACTGCGTATGTAGATCTGTCGGACTGCGTCTAGCCGCTCGGGCCAGGCGTTCCTGCATCCTGCGAACTTGGATCTTTAACCAAGTGTCAAATGCAGGAGCAGCCGAGTGGCAAGGAGTAATGACGTCATGAAGGAACAAAGAACCCTCACTTCTACGAATTGGATGCCTTGTCGTATTCTCAACCTATCACATTGCTAGATGCAGTTTGCTGTGTTCCTGGTCCATGCACTTCACCATTGTGAGCTCACGGAAAGAGCTCTGCACCAAGGATATTTCGCCAGAAGATCCAGGGATCCTTGCCAACACACAATGATGCAGCACTGACAAATGAACACTGCGATGCAAAGTGCTGTACTGCGCGTGTCATGTGAGCCCATGGTTACTTGTTTAGAATGATGGCAAGCACCAGAACTGTGTGGGTCCTTCTTTTCTACAGCAAACTCTTCGCACTGGTTCTCCTCAATACAAACCTGCATGTCGTTGGCTGCTACACACTCCAACAGTTGTGCCAACATAGAACGGCCAGAACGACCGCTGTTGAAAATTCATATCCTGCCACAAGTTCTTTCCCAGAGACAAAAACAGGATGCGTGGGGTCAAAACGTCTGGCAATGTGCTGAACACACAATCAACGAATAGCCGCTTGCAGAACAGTCCGTTCCAAGGTTTGGGAATATCTATGTTTGAAGAAAAAAGAAACGGACGAACCACTGGCGGCGAACGGCCGGCGAACCTTTCTTCATTATATATATATATACACATACATACATACAAGTACAAGTATTGGTTGGGGTTCGTCGGCTTCGAACGCTTCTGTGTTCGCTCATCCGTGCCTCCACGGGACCGTCCGCGGCCTCAAAGGGACCGTCCGCGGCCGGCATCAGATCGGGTTTTTGGACCACGCTCTTTACTGGTGATGAAACAGCATAGCAACAGCAACAAATCTGCAGGTAAAGCCTTCGAGATACTGGATTCTCACTGATTCTCATTGAACCGTGCCTGGCCATGCTCCTCCAAGGATGCCACCTGCAGGGGCCCAACTCATTCATATCATCATCTCATCTCAACCACGGTGAAACGGATCAAACATACCTTGCTGGGATCGTTCAAGACTTTCCAGAGGTTCTGGATCTGTTGTCGCAATCTTCAAACTCCGCTTCATTGCTTTGACCCTTCTCTCAACAAGGCCTCAACTCCCACCTCCTCCTCTTCCTGGTCCATGGCCACTACTGGAAGAGGGGCTGCCTTGCTGGGGAGGAACAACATCTTTCCGGCACATGCGTGAATGACACAGACTTTGGATGCATAGACCAGGAAACCTGGGCAGTCTAACTCCTTTGGACATGGCCTCTTCCTCTGCCATCATATCTTCATGTTCTCTCTCCTGACAAAGCAACATGCACAGACTAGCAAGAGCTTACCATGACGAAGGTGCATCAGCACACTGAAAGCAATCATCAAAAAGCATCGCCAAAATGAAAAGGAAGCTAGTTCCATGTCAACTTCTGGCTTGGAGGATTCTTCAAATTCCGTCCATCAACCCTTGGCTTTTGTGCATTCAATTCTCCAGACCTCCTGCTGCTGATCTGGAACCTCCTCAGCTGCTTCTGCTGGATCTCCTTCAGCCTCACACGGCTGACATGCCAAGAGATTCCATCTTGATACCAATCTCTCACCCATGTGCAATTCCGGATGAAACGGATGTAGAAGATGTGTTCTTCGAAACCACAGCCTCAGAACATCATGACGCTCAGAGTTTAGCTGCAACATGCTGCAACTGGTTTGTCCGGTCGCACACAGTTGAGCCTGAGCATAATCTTGCGTCAGGGATGTCTGGAATAGCACCTGCTCGTCGGCGGAAGAAGAAGCTTGGGCTTCAGCCAACGCATCTGAACAGTCATAGGTGTGGAGGTTTTATCGCATTCCCCGATCTTGCTGCGACTAAGTCTCACCAACTTCGACTTTAAAGTCACCAAAGTTGTTTGACCCATGCCCCAACTGCACATCATGACACCTAATTCTGATCGGCCAAAACCTTCTGTCAAGCAGAGGACATGCGCATGTTTTGGTGCTTGCTCACATGGCCTCCTACTCAGCCTTTGGGAGTGACCATAGAGTG